CATTGACGATGAGTCAAAGGATTTGTTGACAATTAACACACACAGTGGATTGTTTCAGTTTAACCGATTGCCATTCTGGGTTAAAACAGCACCAGCTATTTTCCAGCAGCTTATGGATACTGTAGCGCCCAAAAAGATAACTCTTATCTTTCATGTACAATTTACTTGTTGACCGATTGTACATTATTCCTTCTTGTTTTAATCGTCCTTACAACCGGCTCCACACAACAGCCTTGTAAGTTCCCGCGCTCACGTGTACGCTCTCGCCTCGCTTCATCCGTCCGCTTCTTATTGTAGCCCATCGAATACAATCCGCTGTGTCCGACTCCCATTGCCTTCTGATATCCGCGCTTACTTTCGCGCACCGCCTCGGACTAGTATTAACTAGTCCTACAAATTGGTGACCCCGATTCGCACGCGCGAATTCAACGTTTTTTTCTCGTTTGTATTTTTTGGTGAGTTCGTTCCTTTTTCTCGATTATATACCTATATCCATTTGTTTCTTGCGTAATTCTAGTACTTTTATCGTACTTGGTTCATTCATTATCTTTCGACTCACAGTTCGAGAGTGGCATCTGAGTCGTTTCACAGCGTAACCATGCTTACTTTGGCTGTTCCAAGTTTCATGGAACACAGTCCAGAAGTTTGGTTTAAGATATTCGAGATCGAGCTAGAAAATAAGGGCATAACGGCGGACCGTCCGAGGTACAATCAGCTCGTCCCACGCCTTCCTCCGTCGGTAGTGACGCTGATTGAGGACATTCTACTCTGCCCAACAAATGAGGCAAAGTATGAAACGATGAAGCAAGCGATTTTAAAAGAGTTAAGGCCCAGCGCACGAACTCGATTTGAGCAGCTCAATTGTCTCAAGCTTGGAGATCGCAAGCCGTTGGCATTGCTCCGCGAACTTCAGCGCATCGCTGGTCCCTTATTCTTGAGCGAAGAAGGGATAAAGGAGCTGTGGTTTGCACGTCTCCCAGAGCCATTGCCGGTAATGCTGTTCATGTTTATAGATGCACCCCTGAAAGACTTAGCTACCAAGGCAGACGCTGCGTTCGAACGTTTTCCGCAGCAGACGACCAGTAACTCCGGTGACGTATTCTCACCGATGAAAATCGAATCTCATGTTTGTTCCCAGTCGCTAGACCGATCTGACTCTAAAGACGAGGAAATTGCGCTACGTCGCAGCAGGATAGCAGCAATGAAGGCTTCGAAGCAGCGTGTGCCACGGTCAAATGCTGACCACGTTTTGGCTAGCGTTCATTGCGACTCGTCTGTGCCTGCACCGAGTACGTCACGTTCGGCACGAAAGCGCAACATTTGCCTTACAAGTTCTCAGTCAGATAATGTCAAACCCATCGAAGAAGTATGTTGGTATCACCGCCAATACGGTGGAAGAGCTAGACGTTGTCGGGTTCCCTGCATTAGGCACGACCCAGGGAAAACGAATAGCCCGCATACTAGCACTACAAACGTATCATTTAATAACCAAGCAAATCGACTGTTTTATGTTAAGGATCGACGTTCTTCCATCACATTCCTCATCGACACAGGAGCGGAAGTCAGCGTCATCCCAGCGACCGCTAACGACAAGCACTCAGAGCCTACGTACAATTTGCGTGCGGCCAACGGTTCTCCGATAGCTTCATTCGGTCAGCGCATGATGAACCTGGACCTCAATCTTCGCCGAGATTTTCAGTGGGTCTTCATGGTTGCGTCTGTACCCTTCGCAATTATCAGTATCGACTTCCTCCGACATTTTGGCTTGCTTGTTGATGCTGGTCGCCACAGACTTTTAGACGATCGTACGAAACTAGGTGTTGATGGTGTCCTTTCAGATGCCCCGATAATCAGCCCTGTATTTCGGATCGCAGACGCACCGCCCGACTATTTGAGCCTTCTCTCTGAATACCCGCGACTGGTTCGACCGGCTGCAGAGCTTCCACCAGTCACAACAGAGGTCGCTCACCACATAGTTACGCGCGGTCAACCAGTTAGCACACGACCAAGACGGCTTGCTCCAGACAAATCACGGGCAGCACGAGCCGAATTTGACCACATGCTTCAACTTGCTATCGTCAGACCGTCCAACAGCCCATGGGCGTCGCCTCTGCACATGGTCCCGAATAAGGTCATGGGGGACTGGAGTCCTTGCGGCGACCATCGAACCTTGAATGCGGTTACAACGCCTGATCGCTATCCGGTCCCACACATAGTAGATCTCACCGCCAGTCTGGCTGGTAAAATATCTTCAGCAAAATCGACTTGGTGCGCGCATACAACCAAATGCCGGTAGCTGAAGCGGACATCGCTAAAACTGCCGTGACGACTCCATTTGGTTTGTTCGAGTTTCTGCGCATGCCATTTGGCCTAAAGAACGCCGCGCAAACTTTTCAGCGTTTCATCGACCAAGTTTGTCGCGGTTTAGACATCGCTTACGCGTATCTCGATGACATTTTAATCGCCAGCTCTTCAAGAGAAGAGCACATACGCCACGTACGAACACTTTTTGCTCGTTTATCTCAACACGTGGTGACGATCAACGCAGAAAAGTGTTCGTTTGGTGTCGATTCAGTCAACTTCCTCGGCCATCGTATCTCCTCTACAGGCGTCGTGCCACTGCAGGATAAAATTCAAGCCATCATCGACTACCCCGAGCCTCATTATTACGAACAGCTCAGGCGTTTTGATGGCCTTGTCAACTTTTACCGACGATTTATACCCAATTGCGCCTCGCTGATGCAACCCCTCACGGAACTTCTCCGAGGGAAACTCAAGACGTTCGAATTTCCTGTCACAGCACACGCTGCTTTTAATTCGCTGAAAGAGGCTATCGCCAACATAGCTTCTATAGCGCACCACGATCCGGCCGCCCCACTGTCCCTCAGTACTGACGCCTCGGACGTGGCAGTCGGCGCTGTTTTACAGCAACGAGTAGCCGACACGTGGCAACCCTTAGCGTTTTTCTCCAAACGCCTACAACCTACCGAATCTCGCTACAGCACGTTCGGTAGAGAACTACTAGCAGTGTATCTAGCGATACGTCACTTTCGACACGTCTTAGAAGGCCGCCCCTTTGCCGTCTTCACCGACCACAAACCCCTGACTTACGTGCTCGGCTCGACTACCGACCGATACTCTCCTAGAGAGTCGCGCCACCTTGACTATATCGCTCAGTTTACGACCGATATACGGCATGTCTCAGGTGTGCACAACGCTGTCGCCGATGCACTTTCCCGCATCCAAGCTATCTCCGCTGACGCCGGCACTGCTATCGACTTGACAGCCATGGCCACAGCGCAACTCAACGATCCTGAGCTTGATCTACTACGCAGGCTTCCCTCATTGGATATACGACCCGTTCCGCTGACATCATCAGAGGGAACTATAGTCTGCGATTTATCTCTGGGCACGCCGCGCCCAGTCGTCCCACGCGAGTTTCGGCAGACCGTGTTCGACGCGTTGCACGGCTTGTCTCATCCAGGCGTTCGTGCATCGGTTAAACTCGTAACCGCACGATTCGTTTGGCGCAATGTGAATCGGGACGTCCGTACCTGAGCAGCTGCTTGCCTTCCGTGTCAACGCGCTAAAGTGCACAAGCACACGAGAAGCCCATTAGGCACGTTTCCGACGCCAGATGCACGTTTTCATCACGTGCACGTCGACCTCGTAGGTCCTCTGCCGCCTTCCAAAGGCTCTGTATATCTACTGACCTGCATCGATCGATTTACTAGATGGTCTGAGGCCGTCCCTATCTCAAATTGCTCCTCGGAAACGGTAGCGAAAGCTTTCATGGAGCGCTGGGTAGCTCAATACGGCTGTCCCGCTATCGTGACAACCGATCGAGGGTCACATTTCTCGTCGACATTTGCCATGTTGCTTAGGGATTTAGGCTGTCGCCACGTCCAGACGACGGCGTATCATCCGGCCGCTAACGGCATGGTGGAGCGTTTTCACCGCCAGTTGAAGGCAGCGCTACGTGCGCACACAAATCCTTCATGGTCTGAAACGCTTCCCCTCATTCTCCTAGGCTTAAGAAACACGGTTAAAACCGACTTCGACGCCACACCAGCGCAGCTAGTCTACGGTTGCACGCTGCGGTTACCCGGACAGTTAGTAGCACCAGCCCCATGTACTTCCACTTTTGACTACGGAAGTTACACTGATCGATTGGCTCACCAGATGCGTGAGGTACGTCCACCCGCTCCTCAATCGCAAAATATACCAGTGTACGTGCCTGAGAAGCTGTCTACGTGTTCACACGTCCTTCTTCGCGCAGACGGTGTTCGACAGCCTCTTCAGTCGCCGTACATAGGACCTTTCAAGATGATACATCGTACGAGTAAGGCGTACACTATTGACCGCGGTGGTCGACACGAAGTCGTCACCATTGACCGTCTAAAACCCGCCTTTATGGAAGAAACCACCTCGCCTACTTCATCTAGTAGTGCCTCGTGCGACGTCACAACTCACCGTACCAGTTTTCCGCATGCTAATGAAGTCCAACCAGACCACGATCACGGTCTACAAGCTTCAGCCGTCCTGACATCTCCCGAACCTAGTCCGCCGCCTCCCACGACCAATCGCCGTGGTCGGGAGGTACGTAAGCCAGTTCGTTTCTCCGACTATGTACAGTGTAAATACTTTTAACTTTGTAGATATTGTATATATTTGTCCCATTTTTGGTCGATTAACGTTTTGAAAACAAACAAAAATATCAAAAAACCTCCGCAAACCTTTTTTCGAAAAAATATTCAAAAAGCAAAAAATATTTAAACACGCAGATCATTCATTTGTTCTTTTTGGCGTTTTCTGCGCGTGCTATTCTATTTTCTCGTCTCTACATGCCCCAACCCTCCCCTTCGATCGACTGACCCACACAAGGAGTGCTTTCGAGCACCCTGACGCGAACACTGATCGTTTCTCCGCGGGACGAGTGTCGTTTCTCCGCGGGACGAATGTCGCTTCTCCGGGAGACGATTGTCACTTCTTCGCGGGACGAGGATGGCTTCTTCGCGGGACGAGGGTCGCTTCTCCGCATGACGTGGGTCGCTTCTCCGTGGGACCATGGTCGGTTCTTCGTGGGACGAGGGTCGTAGTGGCGCGGGGCGGGGTGCGGCGGGGGGAGAGACCACTCCCAAACGCACCGTTTAGCAGCAGCGGAGGTTGAGGTCCTGTCGGCCTTTTTCTGGGCTAGCCAGTTTTTTTGTAGTCCGACAAGCCCGCTCCAACCGCTCGCCGAAATGCACCCTGCCATGTAATCAATAAATAACAAATCATAAACGGCACAGCGGACTCCGACTTCCGACGAACCCCCATTTACATGAACGCATGCTCATTTTTTACTCAGTACGATTTTGCCTTACGAACCTCACTTCAACAGCCCTTTTCGATTTCGAAGGCTTTTTATGTTCAGCCTTCTAGGGGGGGAGCTCTATAGCGCCCTAAAAGATAACTCTTATCTTTTATGTACAATTTAATTGTTGACCGATTGTACATTATTCCTTCTTGTTTGAATCGTCCTTACAACCGGCTACACAACAGCCTTGTAAGTTCCCGCGCTCACGTGTACGCTCTCGCTTCGCTTCATCCGTCCGCTTCTTATTGTAGCCCATCGAATACAATCCGCTGTGTCCGACTCCCATTGCCTTCTGATATCCGCGCTTACTTTCGCGCACCGCCTCGGACTAGTATTAACTAGTTTTACAATACCATGCTCACGGGCATTGACGGCGTTGCAGCTTACTTAGATGATATCGTAGTGGTCGGAACAAGTCCAGAAGAGCTAGCAGTGAGGATCGACCAAGTTTTGGATCGTATAAAAGAGTACGGATTACGCTTGCGACCAGACAAATGCAGCTTACTTTTGCCACAACTTAAATATCTGGGGTTCATTACTGATCAGAATGGACGTTGTCCCGACCCAGCCAATATTTCAGCTATGGTTAACATGCCGGCACCAACAGACGTCATTACGCTACGCTCTTTTCTTGGCATGGTTAGCCAGTATTCTAATTTTCTCCCGGAAATGTATCAACTGCGAGCACCTCTAAACGCATTACTCATGAAAGAGGTCAAGTTTACTTGGTCAGCAGAGTGTCAAGCAGCGGTAGATCGGATTAAAGATATGCTGACTTCCGATCTCCTTCTCACACATTACGATCCCAAACTTCCAATCGTGGTAGCTGCCGTTGCAAGCAAATATGGCATCGGAGCTGTGTTATCCCACACTTTCCCAGACGGTTCGGAGCAAGCAGTTATCCACGTGGCACGGTCGTTAACATCAGCAGAGAAAAATTATTCCCAGGTTGAAAAGGAAGGGCTGGCCATCATATTTGCTGTCAATAAATTTCACAAAATGCTATATGGTAGACGTTTCAAGTTACTGACGGATCACAAACCGTTGCTGACCATATTTGGTTCACATAAAGGCATCCCGGCAACTACAGCCAGCCGTCTACAGAGATGGGCTCTATCCTTACTGGCCTACGATTTTAGCATCCATTACCAATCGACCACGGATTTTGGGCAAGCCGATGTGTTGTCTCAGTTAATTGCGGAGCATCCAGCAGACAACAACGAGACAGTGATTGCTAGTGTTAAAGTGGATCAGGAGATCAATCGGGTAATTCTCGACACCGCGAAATCTCTACCAGTCTCGCTAAAATCCATCCAGCAGCACACATCGCAGGATGCCGTACTACGGAAGGTGATGAAACACGTGAAAGAAGGTTGGCCATCGAGGGTATCAGATGCAGAACTCATCCCCTATCACCGGTGCCAAAACAACTTATCAATAGTTGACTCGTGTTTGCTTTTCCCTGAACGTGTGGTTGTCCCCTCAGCTTTACAATGGCCCATTCTCACCCAACTTCACAAAGGCCCATCAAGGAATCACCCGCACCAAAGCATTAGCTAGAAATTACGTGTATTGGCCAGGGATGGATGATGATATCTCACACCTGTGTACGCGGTGTGAAAACTGTGCGATCACGCAAAAATCACCAAACAAATTGGCCCCTGTGCTATGGCCAGCAGCGACCACGCCGTGGTCAAGAGTACATGTAGATTTCGCCGGCCCAGTAGATGGTAAGTCTTATCTCATCGTGATTGACGCTCATAGTAAATGGCCAGAAGTTGTAACAATGCCGACGACTACTGCAGTCGCAACAATTAGACAGTTGCATCAAATATTCAGCCGATTCGGAATGCCGGAGACATTAGTCAGCGATAATGGCCCACAATTTACTAGCGAAGAATTCGCAACATTGTGTCGTTCCAATGGGGTGGCACACATACGCACACCCCCCTTTCACTCGCAATCGAACGGTCAGGTTGAGCGATTCGTCGACACGTTCAAGCATGCACTTATCAAAAGGCGAGGCGACGGCCCCAGGGACGATTGCATACACACATTCCTAATGATGTATCGAATCACACCACACCCCTCTTGTAACGGAAGGTCACCGTCGGAAATGTTGTTTAACCGTCAGATCAGGTCGATTTGGGACATAATCGTTCCGGTGAGAGAATTAGCCAATCGGGAAACAACAGAATCTGCGCAACCCAAACAGCACGCAATAGCGAGAACATTAAAACCAGGTGACTTGGTATGGACAAGAGACTTCCGGCCGTCGCAAAACAGATGGACGCCAGGTGTAATCACCATACGGATTGGTCGAGTCAAGTACCTAGTAGAGGTCAACTGTCAGACATGGCACAGGCATATGAATCAGCTCAGACACCGCTTTGATAACAGTCAGTATTTACCTCGTCACAATTCCCAGTTTGATTTTCAGTTATTACTGAAGGAGTTCACATTGCTGAAACCGACAAATGCAAATTCGGATCGAGTGGAAAACAAAAGCCAAGCGTTAATGTCAGGTTTGGATTCGGTTCATAGACGCCCCGTACGCAACCGCCGACCACCCGGTCGTTTCATCTTTACCCAACAGTTGGCGACTACAGGCAGACGTGTCAAAAGAAGAGGGAGTTGTCGTATACGGGACCCAACCCAACATGGAGTGCTGTCATCCAATCAGACCATACAACTGTCCAGCCAATCACCACTAAGCTGGAACCAACCAAACGATATACCCCAGTGATTCTGGTAAACACGTGAAATTCCTGTTGACACATTGTTGACTCTGCTTGTCAGTACCTCTTGAGCCGCTGTATCAATACTACTGGTCATTTCCACGATCTAGTATTCTATCCACCTACTAGAACAGCTCGGGTTATATAAACTTGTACGTAAAAATAGCAGCCCGAATTCCCCATTCAGGCCGAAGAAGAGAGCCAGGCGTTCCAACCTACCTCAACGGCTCAGTCTCAATCAGTACCGATACTTTTCTCTCTCTCTCTCCCATAAGTAAAAACACTGCCTGCAGCGTGCGCGCTTCAACTTCCCTATAATATGTTATACCTAGAGTTTGTTCGCTATACAGGAGGCCCTACGCTGCAGCCAACCAGCCATAGTGAGGAACCAGGTAACATACGCATAGGTTGCCGCAAAGGAAACACCAGAAATAGCACCGGTAACCTTGGTGGCCGGACTAGAGAAAACCGAGGTGTCGCAACGCAGATGGCCACCATCAGTGTCGTTCACAAATTCACCAAAAGCACCGGAAACTAAGGCTCCAAAACCAATAACCATCAGGTGTAATCATGGTGTCTTAAACCTCGTGTACATTAATGTCCCCGAGTCCAAATCCAATACAATTAAGGGTAGGCTGACAGACGATGGAACTCATTGGAGTTCCATCTGTGCGGCCATCGGTGTCCATACTAATCCCACGACATTAAAGCGCATCTTGCGTTGCCCAAACGCATTGCACTACGGTGAACCCCGGTTACTTCGGGTAACACTAAACTCGGTGGATGAGACAGACCGTTCTGCTATCTGCGAACCAACTCCGCAACGCCTCAAATGGAGTGCGCATACTACCTGAAATCTCGTGGAAAGAACGTGCAGTTGATCCAACCAACAGAGAGAGAAACAGGAAAGGTAAAGATAAGAAAACTATGATTTCTCACGGTGTTCCTGAGCTTCCTGCTTCCTCTTCCGACGATGCGCATGTACACGAACGGGAGCAATGGTACTACATCCGTGAGACTCTTCCTGTCGAAAATGTCGTTGCCACCTCGTTGACAAGGATCTCCGTAGCACCGAACTATAAGGAGTGCGGTCTCAGGCTGTTAAAACTAGTGTTGCAATCAGAACTGACAGCACAAACGCTTTGGAAAACTGGGCTAAATTTCGTAGCAGGTTGCCAACAGAAATTCGTCTGAAAACAGCAGAAACATCACTACCTTCTAATGACAACTGATTGGGGCCCAACTCAATGAAAACACCAATTGTTGGACCTGACTCGGTGACAGTTTCAACAGTAGCCATAACATCCGGGGGACATAGCAGAGCATGAGCGAACACCTGGATCCGGGACATCTGATACTTGAATATATACCAATTTTCTCTCGACTGTCTGCAGCCCAATCAAAAATCGATTAGCCGCAGACCTTATATCGGTCGTCGTATACTCATTTGTTTCTTCCATTCCACCCAACGCTCTTTTGGTATCCGAGAAGCTCTCATGCATGTACACAAATGCCCAAGGTCTACGCAGCAAATTAGCGGAATTAAGAATTCGACACGCGTCACCAGCTTGGGACTTCATCGCTATTACGGAAACATGGTTGCACTGTGAGATAAGCGATGCCAAAATCGCGATAACAGGTATGTTTGTTGTCCGGATTGATCTAGCAGCAAATGTGACGGGCCAGTTCTCTACTTTCGTAACAACCTGCAGTGCGAACCCATACGCGATTTGGAAACCGATGTATCTGACTCCATTTGGTATAGCTTCCGGCTGAGAGGGAACGATCTTGGCCTAGTGGTTGTTGTTTACCGACCACCATCGTCAACACCTAAGATGGACTGCAACTTGGTGGTAGCATTGAGGCTGGTGATAAACAGGAAGTATAGTCACGTTCTAATCGCTGGAGATTTTAACTTACATGCTCTAGAATCCCAGGCCACACCAGGAGAGCAATTCATTGCAGACCTGTAAGCTCTTATCTCAGATTTTCCGCTTTATGGCCACGTCACTTCGCCCACTAGATTCAGAGGAAATAACTAGCCATCCATATTGTACCGAAGATTCACTAATGAGGAACTGATTGTCGAGAGAGTGATAATGGATAATCCTCTTGGTTCCAGTGATCATGCGAGTTTGCATCTCATGTACACTTGATGTG